ATCTCTGGATCCGCTGCCACCTTTAATCCAACCAGTATATACGTTAATAACAAAAAGTAGACATTTTAATAAGTAATTTAACTGATTAATTAATAGGATTATATAAATATTATGTAAATCTATAGTAAATTTTTTTTTTTATCTCAAATTAGCAGTAATTTTTATTAGTAGACTTAACTTTCACTTTTTCTAGTTATTTCCCGAAAAGTGGATAAAAACTACAAATTAGTATAAACTAGTTGTCGCCCGCGACTCTAGTCTAATCTAAGAAAAAACCTAATAAGTAGCCTATGGGTTCTTCCAGACTATGTTCTATATCTGTGCCAAATTTCATCAAGATCAGTTCAGCCGTCTGGGATATACCTTCAAACGAACATCCATCCATCGAAACATTCGCATTTATAATATTAGCAAGAAGTAAGATTTATAAGACAAATTTAATTACCTTATCTAATTCCATAAGCAAACTATCTAGACTTTCATCGCACAACTTTCCAACTTCAAATAGAGTCACTGCATGACTTTTTAGATCCTGTTAATATAAAAAACAGTTTATATAAAATCATAAATATGCATAAATAACATTTATATACATTAAAATTCTTACCGGTGATAAATTCCCCATCATTAGATATGCAGCAAGAGTTGAATCAAACAGAACTGCCACTCGTTGACCACTATTACTGGACCCAGGATCAATTAACTCTTGGCAACTCTACAAATAATAACTCTAATATACTATGTATCCTATATAAAAACCAAATCTATGTAAACAATAAAAGGTTAGTTAACAAGCTGTCATCCGCAACTAAGTACACGCGTAAATAAAAAAAAAACATAATTAGTAGCCTATGTTCCAGACTATGTTCTATATGTATGCCAAATTTCATCGAGATCTGTTCAGACATTCTGGAGATACGTTCAAACAAACAATCATCCATCCATCCATCTAAATATTCGTATTTATAATATTAGTAAGAAATAAGATGTAAAGCTATGAGGAAAACTTAAGTTTTTTTTTAAATTAAAACATTTTTTTTTAATTGAATATTAAAAAAGAATTATACCTGTTTAGAAGTGGACGGTCTGTCTTTGATTAACACAGGCTCCATTTGCAGCGCATCTTCATCCATTGTTTGATCAAATGTCAACGGCGCTATTTGTCTGTACCTAAAAGAAAAAATATGTATACTTTTTGCTAGATTTCAGAAAAATTTTCTATGGTTTTACTATTATAAAAATTATGAGACATAATTTCTGCTAGTCTATGGTTTAATATTAGACAAAAATTAAAAAAAAACTAATGATCACTGACGGTTGATGCTTATGTGTGGTAACAGCTTCCTTCCACGAGGGGTGCTGCGGTGCGACGGGTGGTGGGTTCAGGTTATTTGCAAACCCCAGCCTGCAGTACAACGACACTGCTTGCTTGACCAACTCACAGTCGACCTGACAACAAAACATTATATAAATCTTACTAATATTACCTTATGTCTTACTAATATATTAAATGTCAATGTTTGGATATATGGATGGATGTTTGAAGGTATCTTCAGAAAGGCTGCATAGTTTCGTTGAAATTTGGCATAGACACATAGGATTAGAACACATAGGTACTAGTTAAGTTTTTTGTCCGGAGCCGATGGACGACTTCCATAAGCTAAAACTCGATTTAAGAAGAAAACTCTATAAGCGAGAAATATTTTGAGATCCTTTGACTCATGCTTATACAGGTTAGATTGTATTCAAAGGATGCAGTCCTTAGACATTTAGAAGATTAATTACAATAATTAGTTTATTTAATTTATCACAACAAAACACTTACCTGTAACACAGCAGCTAGTTCTGCAACGCTGGTATGCTCATCTATAGACACGAATACTTTGTACAACAATGTCTCGAAATAGTCGCCTGCGATGCGGTTCATCACGAAACCCTTCAGCGGTGGGACAGACACCTTGTCTGCTGATGTTATTGGTACATCCAAGTAGATTAGACCACGTCTGTAAATAACAAGGCTAATTATAGCATTCTGTAGTTTAATTTTAAATAAAAATCATTTTAATGACATCGCTTTTCTACAAAACAGTAACACTGCAACACGCAGAGTAAAAAATAAACTACTTAAGTGCCTATTTATCATTCTAAATGTTAATATCGTAACAAATACTTTACCTGTATAAAGTTTTAACTACATTGTAATCCAAAGTGCCAGCTGTTTGTGATCCTCTGTCTATAAGGAGGTCAATGAGAGCCTTCTCGCTTTCACTTAGAGGCTGAAAACAAAATGTCAACTTAAGTGTATTATTAGGATACTGAGAGGTTGCTATCTGTAAATGAACAATAATCATAAACACACTTTAACAAACTTCGTTTAATAGAAAATCTTACAAGAAAGGCCATCTTTCTAAAAAGGTTTAGTCATAAATCTTTTTATATTTTAAACATTAGTTTTATATTACCTTAACATCTTCCTCCAGTACATAGCCAAGTTCAACTCTCCACCACGGCAGCATGGGTATGTTAAGTGGTACTCGAGGCAAGAGACCACGGATTGCCTTTGAACGACCTCGCCTTCCCAAAGAACGAGCTTTAGCCACCAACTCTAAGTACTCATTACGTCCAATTCCCAGCAGTCGAAGACCTAATAGTAAACTTTTTTTATTTGAAATATATAGCAAATGCATAATAAAACTGTTAACGAAAATAGATTTCCAATGGCCATAGAAAAGTTCGTCTCCTTATCTATCTATCCATCTAAAGCATACCTTTATTTATGGTATTTTAAAGAAAATGACAGGGACAACTAAATGTGTTTGTGTTTCATGTAAGCCTACACTAATACTTACAATCAGCAGCAGTGAAATTGGGCATTGTGTCATAGCTTTTCTCCATTTCTATCAGCAAAGCAACAACTTCAAGATAATATATAAATGGAGTTATTCGTAATCCTGAAAAAATCAAATTAATTATAAAACAAAAAACAACTCACGCCCATAAACCAAAGGGATATGCAGAGATTATGTATTTTAATTTTGCCTGATCCTGGCACACTTTTCTTACACCACATTCATACATCTATCCATACATGACTAACTCTTGTTCTGCTTAATATTATGGGTATGAGACTGATCAATCAACACAGAACTCCTAAAAAAATGGGCTATTAATAATTAATATTTTGATTTCCTTTGATCCTTTCCCTTATGAAAATGCATAGTTATTGGTAATAGCTAGTAATAAATCTATCTATCTATCTACTCAGCCATGAGACGCCCACTGCTGGGCATAGGCCTCCCCCAAAGATAGCCACGATGACCGATCTTGTGCCACCCGCATCCAGGACGCTCCCGCAACCTTGACCAGTTCATCGGTCCATCTTGCGGGAGGCCTGCCCACGCTGCGTCGACCTGTCCGTGGCCGCCACTCTAGGACTTTGCGGCCCCATCGACCGTAATAAATATTCAATTTAAAATATTACCTTTAACAATCATGTCCGCTAAATGATATGGGTAGAGCATAAGCCTCTGTATACTATTCTGAACAAGTACCTCATAATACTTTCTTTCATCTTTCCGGACTGTCCGTACTAAAACAACAATAATAGAATAGATTAATCGAAAATTGTTAACTAAAGATTACAAGGAATTTAAGAAATTTCATACTTAAAGCAATATACATTTAGTAATATTTATATTTCTTTATTTAAGAAAAAAAAACTACATTATGTTATAAAACTTCTTATCCATAATATTGATTATTATATAATCTTATCATAACAAATATTAATATCCCATAAATTGACTGATTTGATTTGAAATTAAGTTTAATATCATCAAAAACCCCTCATAATTTTGCTTTTAGCTATTACAAAAAGTAATAAAAATCTTTACAAATATTAAACAAAAAAGAATGTCTTAGTATTCTTTTAAGACCAAATACTGAGTTCTATCTTGTATATTATGAGAATTCAAGGTTATTTATCATAAGCATTAACATACCAAGACTGCCCCTGTAACGCAATTGATTTTTAACACTGAACTCGAATACGTATCTTTCATATTCTTTAGGAGAATCACCCAACACCTGGGAAAGAAGAATTTCAAATATGTTATCATTTATTTCATACATAAATATAAAAGCTGTACCTTTTTATAAAAGTAAAAGGCTATGTAAACAGGCGATCAAAAAGCAATAAAGAAAATAGCATAAATACTTTCATATATAATTAGATTTATTAGACTTTAGAATCAATAAATAGTTAATAACATTTTGTACAAAACCATTACTGTAATAGATATCTGATTTGTGGGAGAAAGGTATGACAATAGTAAGAAACCTATTACCTTTTTTACAGTAGTTGGTAGTTGAGGCCATTGAATTCTTTTTCTTATACATTCATCTATTTCATCCTCCATTATAATAGAGTTATTAAGCTATTCACTTTACTCTTTGTCGTTTCTACATCGAAGACAACGAAAATAAATTTCTTGGCCACAATATTTTGATAAGAAAAAATAGCCACACACATTGCGTTCTTAACAGTAACGCAAAGAGTATAATAAGTATACTATAGAATAACGCAATATTGACGTATTGAGTATTGTCAACATTATTTAATTTATTTCATTTATCCGCAATAAGTAAAATTATTTTATATGTTATTCTCAATTTACTAAGTGTAAAAAATGTAATGCAGCTTTTTATTTATAAAATGCAAACTAAGTTTATTTTACAGAAAGGTTTTGCCTTTATGAACGATTGCGTATATGTCAATATCATCAGTCAAAATAAAAATGAGCGGGAAGAATTAGGATTTTTGAAAATTTTTAATAATTCCCACTTTGTGTACAGACTACGGTTATTTTCATAGGATGTGTAATACTTATATATTTATATAAAGTGAAATTCAATTAAACAATAAGAAAACTTAGCTACTGTTTTAAAATGTACGAAAGGATGCAAAGGTTCCAAATAATAGTAATAAAAAACAAAACTTCAAACTTTGCCGCTACTTATATTATTTTAATGAATTTATATAAATAAATGGATTCAAAGAAATTGCTCCTCAAATGCTTTATGTATTTCTTTCAACATATCTGAAGCTATCATACTTCGTCCGTAAATCTTGTAAGCTCTTGAATTGCACGACCTTGTTAACCTAGCAGCGGAATAAGCTGCAACACTATGTGAAAATGGTATTATTTTTCCTTTTGTACAAAAGTAATTTGTTTTTAAAGCCCAATTGAAAAATGTCCCTAAGCTACCAGATAAAATGTCGCCCTGACCGCCAGCTCGACGACTAGAGCCACCTTCGTTTGACGACCATTTAACAGCGCCCACACTTGAAAGAAAAGTGTCATATTCTCCTTTCGCTAAAACTGACACATTGTTACCCCAGTATTCGTACCAAGATAAATTCTTTGCCTGAACAGCTTGCATTAACCGACTTGCTTCTCTTTTGTTTGGAGTAAGTATAACACCTGGACTTGGGTAATCTTTTAAAATAGAGATGTTCTGATATACTGCAAATAAACCATCAGCATCAATAACCATTGCTTTCTTCAAAGATTTACATGTTTGCATTATTTCATGAGCTAAATGTATAGCCTCATCTTCTCTACCTAATCCGGGTCCAAGGACAATGACGTCCATTTTTGATAGGATATAGTTCAGCTTTGATGCAGAATTTGAATTAAGAAAAGGGTAAACAATAAGATCTGGGCTATACGCTTTTATAATGGGGGCTGCATTCTCTGTGGTTATGACATATACTAGATCAGCTCCAGCCTAAAACAAATAAACAGTTTTATTCATTTAATGTTTTCTTATTTTCCCCCCATAAGCCATAGCAAGCCGAGAATATAGTTTTCAGATTTGTACATTTAAAATTAGATCTAATTTTGGGGCAATCAAAGTAAAACATCACAGAAATGAAATGCAAAATCTTGATATATTAATTAGCTTTTGAATTATTAAATAATATCACATTAATAAAAAGTCTGGCTTTTAATATTTTTCAATGTAATATTAACATACCCTTAATGCTGATATAGCGGCGAAATAGGGAGCTCCAGTATATTCTACAGATCCGCCAATAATGCCAATTTTACCAGCTTCCCCTTTACCTTTGCCATCCAGTTCAGGTATAATGGACTTGCTAATACTCTTAAGGTCACTTAGCCTCAATTCATTAATGTTAGAACACTGTTCGACTAAATTAGTCTGAATAACACGTAGATTTGTTGTAATTATAATGCAGAACACAATATTTATCAAACAGTTCATTGTTGATCCCATAATATACGATAAACGGGGCAGTCGGGTGATTATAACGCAAGAAATTAGTGACGATCTATGACGGGCATGTTTAAAACTAAAGTTTAAGTTTATTCACAATAATATTTATATTTATGTGGCCTCGAAGCAAATTATGATAATCTGAAGGTCATCAAGTCAAGTAAAAGGTAGCATGAACGCTTATACAACAGATTTATAATTGCAGGATACAGGCATGCATCTGGGATTTAGTTAAAGAAACATAAAAAAAGACAATAAAAAATAGTAAACAGTGTGACATTCGGTGTCGGTAATTTATAAATTTAAATTAAGAAGTGGATGCTGGATGTTGAGTTGGGTGGTTTAGTTTTTGTTTTTATCAGTTATCAGTCTGTCAATTCTTTATCTTAATATTTTGACAATGACATCTAAATTCAAAGAGTGTCACAAACTTATTTGACCCGATAGGCAAAATGAAATGTCCGGCTATGTCAATTCTATTGAACATTTTAATGATGTAAACAGAAGAAAGTAAGCTTCCGTACAGGGAGATAGTGCATTAATCGTCTTATTGCACTATTTCAGTTATCAGTTAGGATTTTTTGAATTTACTAGAATTATTTAATGTTAATTTCACGTACAGTTTGTCTTTTCGATGAGAGGATTAGCTTTGAGTTGGAACAAAAATACTGAAATTGTTTATGGTTGATTTTGATTTGATCCCTGCTGCTGCCAAAGAGTATATAAAATAAGAGACGGGACTCTTGACTAATTAGATACACAAACGGAGAATAAAAATTGTCATTTTCAATCCAAACAATATTATGAACAAGTCTACGTTGCTATCAACCTAAAAAAATCTATCTGTCAGTTTCCTTTTTGACGTTTGAAAGTATTATTTGAGGGAAAACAATTTGGAAAAATAAAACAATTTCGTTAATTGCAACTTTAATTTAATCTTCTGACTAAAGCTAACATATTTTAAGAACGCAACATAATGCTCATTGCTTTCGTAATAATACCATTATTGTTTAGTTCACCAACAAAATACCCCAACTATAATAAATGCTTATTTGTTCCAGTTTGTTTATTTGATAGCTCATATTTTCTGATAGAACTGGAGTAGTAGTGCCATTCTCGTCGGGAGAAATAGAATAACACTGGAAAGAGATTAGCTCCTATCTGTTGGTAAAATATTTAGAAAATTGCTAACAAGACAATATGCATTGAAGCAAAACAAATCATCATCATCAAGCTCACTAT